GTTGGAAAGATTTTTTGTGAAATTCCTTAACTGAATCAAATCAGACACAGATTACAACTGTAGTAAACGCTTTATTACTTTCTGCCAAAACCTGTATACATGCCATGGTCTTGAGTGCTTGGAAATTCGATTAAGCATTGTGGTAAGATTTCCCACAAACTTTTGGTAATGTTGGATTTTTAAGGTCAATGCAAACAGGAATCTACATTCCTGGTATTTCAGGATGAACTTGGCTATCCAGGGGTAATTTGTAAGAGAGAAAAAAGGACCCACTTAAGAACAGCACAAAGGCAGCTAGACATGCCACTATAACAGTGTTGCCAATTTGCTGAGCATGTGGCTTGAAGGGTAAATTGAAAGATGGTGGGAAGACAATACCCTCTTCAGTCATCACAGAGTGGTAATTCCAGATGAGAGCAACTGAGATACAGATACCAGCAGCTATGTTGAGAATTCCTGAAATGACAAATGCTTTGTAGGTAGTATTTTTCTCAAGAATTCCCATGGACACATTTTTAAGTGCAAAAGTAACAGAGGCTTTCCCCAAGAGTCCTAGAATGCTGGCCATCAGTAAGAGGTTTTGAGAAACACGAATATCAAGAGGTAGGTAAGTATCATGGTAGCTGTAACTGTGACATGAGGTTGCTGTGGTGATGTTGGTATGACGGAAGACACAGACTCTCCACATTCCTATGCAGGCCAGACCAGAGAACTGTGAGGCGTTGTCCAGATACCATACTCGCCACTCCACGAAGCCCATGGCAGTGGTGCCAAGGATCCATCCAATAGTGGCTACTGCAAAACCTACTATTTGGCAATTGGCGATATTGATGAGCAAGGGCATGGTAGATGTGTACCCAAGGGAACTGCAAACAAACACAGGACATCATGAGTTCGGAAATTTGGGCCTAGAACAACACACTCAACCCAGTATCTCCATTCTCCTCCCCTACTTTTACACTGCAGTGGATAAGCAGTGCTGTATTTGACATGCAAGTACTATTATTTCTCACCAGTGACTTTTGACCTTCAAACTCTGCATTGGGGACCACAGGCCAAGCAAATTTTCTGAAGGACCATCTGGGAATATTTACTAAGAGACTTAAAATGTGCAAACTTTCAAACAGACAGTTCTACTTTGGAGCATTTGTCCAAAGATGTAACTTAAGATTGATCACAAACATTCACTCAAAAAAATAGCCAACACAGCCTCTTTGTCATATTGAAAAGTGGGAAAAAATTTCAGTAGCAACAAGAGGTCTAGGTTAAGTAATTTATGCACATTCCATACAAGAGTCCTATATGGCAGCATTCAGAATAGACTAGACTTGTATGAGGAGCAATATTTTGTGTTTTGACTCTTCTCAAGGTTCATCCATGTTGTAACATGTATGAGTGCTTCCTTGCTTTAACTGAGGTAGAGGCGTTAGGCATTCTGAAAGCTATTCATATTGTTAAGAATCAGTTACGTGTAGGAAGGAGTACATGATCTAATGCAGAACTCAATGAGTTATGAAGGGGCCCATACTCACACAGTACTGCACTGGAAGGCAAAGTCCTAACCACAGGACCACCAGGGAACTCCCTAAATTGTTTTTTCAATTTGATATATAGACAATTATTTTCCAAAAGAAAAAGAAAAGAAAGATCTTTATGAATGCACATCCATCACAAACACTCTGCCCGTAACAGGGGACTGCAGGTAATACCCTGGCAGAATCTGTCACACTGTTCCTCTCTCCCACCTAGGACCCCCTTAATGCTCTCCATTGAATCCTTGCTCCTGCCTCACCATTAATTTCTGTGAATGTTTCATTTAAATTGCTTAAGACTTTTTTCTTTCTTTGACTGTGTGCTGCTTTCAAAAGCCTTTATTAAATATAATACAGCTTCTGTTCTGGGTATTTTGGCCATGAGGTATATGGCCAAAGAACTGAGACGACTGAACTGGGTGCACTTAACTTACTACTGGTTGCTGGAGCAGGTAGGCTGCTAGGAAGGATTTGAATGTTCAGTTAATTGAACATTTTAAACAGAAAACATTCAAGTATGGTAAGGATGTGGCATGCCACCTCAGCTTGCAGACTTATAAGCTGGCTCAGACTGCTGTCCCAGGGCAATCAAAGCCCACCCAGCACCCACAGTACATTCAAGAGAATAATGCTTTGAAGGACATGAATGCTAATGAGAGGAAAGTCATGGGCTTGTTTGCTATGCAAATATCTTTGGAGTTTTGATATATATTATGTTAACAAATATATAAAGGGAAATATCTTAATTTTCACAGAAGTATGAACATTTCTACACTAACATCTGCAACTTAAATGTTTTTCAGCAAGGTATTTTGAATAGCTTTCCTTACAAGTGCACACTTTTCTCTGTTTTCAACATTCCCATAACACACAACATCAGCTTTTCCACAGCTTTAACTTTTTGTCTGAAACATCCATTACTTTTCTTAATTGATGATTGGTTTATGATATTAGTTTGATTTCTGTCATACATCAACATGAATTAAATTAACATGAATTAACCGTGGGTGAACATATGTACCCTCCCTCTTGAGTCCCTTATACCTACTGCCCAGCCCCACCCCTCTAGGTTATTTATAGAACCCCAGTTTGAGTTCCAAGTCTTACAGCAAAGTTAATCCATCAATTCATTGAAAACAGGGAGAGAAACAGAACAGCAGAACTTATGTCTCTAAGTTGAGCAGTTAACTGGTAGCAGAACAGAAGAAGAGGGAGCCATTAAATGAGAAGCTGGAAGAGCAGGGGGATTTTGTAATAATTGCACAATATTAAAAAGGCAGTTAATGCCACTGAACTGTACATTAAAAAAAGGTTAAAATGGTCAGCTTTTATCTTATGTGTATTTACTACAGTAAGAGAAAAGAAAATTATTGAGACTCTCGAGGAGATTCTGTTAAGGCAGGTTGAATCTTTTATTATTTACCAGAGATTAAAATTGAGGAATTTTAAATTATTAGTTCATATAATACACTACCTCATGTTAACATAGGGATTTTTATAGGGTTAACTATTTTCCAAAGCAAAATTTAGAGGGCATTGTTTTCAGCATCAAATATCACGGAACCTCTCATACAGGAGATGGTGATCAAGACCATCCACAAGAAAAATGAATGCAAAAAGGCAAAATGGCTGTCTGAGAAGGCCTAACAAATAGCTGAGAAAAGAAGAGAAGCTAAAGACAGAGAAGAAAAGGAAAGATATACCCATTTGAATGTAGAGTTCCAAAGAATAGCAAGGAGAGATAAGAAAGCCTTCCTCAGTAATCGGTGCAAAAAGGTAGAGGAGAAACAAAAGAATGAGAAAGACTCCACTGTATACTTGTGAGAGAATAAAAGTGAGCAAGGTACATAGTGTTTTAGTATCACCATGGTTAATTTTTTTTTTCTTAAGCAGTTTTGCTCTTGTGGAATCCAACTACACACTGGATAGTCTTGAAAAGTTTCACTTCTGCAGGGTTTATATTTATTGACTCCATTTCCCTTCCTAAAGAACTACTAAGTATTCTTATCCTCATTTTATAGGTGGAAGCACTCAGGACAGAGGCTGAGTAACTTGCCTGAAGTTACATGGGAAGTGGCTTCAGAGTACATAATCCTACCTCATGTTTTAGGGGCAAGATGGCAGGAAGCTCAAAGAGCTATCTGGAAAATGAAAAGCATCCAGGAAGAGGAGGAAACTAGGGCAACACTTCATGACTATGGATTCAGTATGTTGCTCAGGGTAAGTGAAAAGGGCAGAGATTTTGAAAGCTCCAGGATGGTTCCAGTGTGCAACTAGGGTGTGATAAGTACTGAATAAGGCAAAAAAAGACCTTTTGACACACAGTGATGGTAGAAGAAATGTGATCTCAGGTGCCTTCTGCTGGAGTGAGGGATGTTGTCAGAGACTCTTGCAAAGGGGAGACAAAGTACCATCCACTGTGCCATCGGCCAAACTAAGAATGGCCTGATCAGTCTTTAGGATGAATATGTTCATCCTAGGAAAGGCCACCAGAACTAGTGGTAATCAGGCTGTGAGTGTCCCTTTTCGGAGACCAACAAGGCCAGCTCTCAAGGTGACTGTCACACAATGGGAATGAGGCAAAGTTACAGAAATGGAAGTTTTTATATCCGGTTATAGATTCAGGTCCATCATATTCAGTCCCCATCATATTCACAAGACATCAGTCAGCTGTTACCACAATACTGAAGGATGACAATGTGAGTAGGCAAGCAGAAAGTTGGAGTCTTTACACGTCATACACAATCTACAGGACACAAATACTCCCCTTGTATTTTCCCTTTGATTATTATAACTTCACTATCTCTTCAGTACAATAATACATCAAGAACTTGAAAGCTGTCTGCTCCCAGAAATGCTCAGAGGACTCTCCGTTTTACTCCAATAAGCGGATTCAAGGATGAAGGCAGACAAGAAATGCCCTCAAAATCCAAGCCTGGGCCAGAGAAGCTGCTTATTCAAAATCTGTAGAATGAAAAGTCAAACAGGAGGCAACAAAAGAGGCTTTTTACAAGTTCAGTTCTAGTTATATTAACTACCACATATATCTTTCTATCTTCCATATCTGTACCAGAGTCTCCTGCTTATTACTTAACTCGACCTGATTAAAACGTCTTACATTCAATGAAATGTTCCTTCACACTCAACAGAATTGCTGTTACACAAACAGAAAACAGCAACTGTTGGCCACAATGTGGAGAAACCATAACCTTTGTGCTTTTCTGGTAGGACTATAAGCTGGTACAACTGCTGTAAAAAATGGTATATTGATTCCTTAAAACCAAGACTTACCATGTGATTCAGGAATTTCTTTTCTGGATAGACATATTTGTTGTTGTTCATTCAGTAAGTCAAATGTAACTCCTTGGGACTCCACAGACTGCAGTGCACCAGGCTCCTCTATAATTTTTTACGTCCCTGAGTTTACTTAAACTCATGTCCGTTGAGTTGTTGATGTTATAACCATCTCATCTTCTGTCACCCACTTTTTCTTTTGCCTCCAATCTCTACAGCATACCCCAAAGTAAAAGGAGTGATTCAGATAGTGGTATACTCATGTTTCAATAGCATTATTCACAATAGCTAAGATGTGCAAGTGACCCAATTTTCCACCCACAGATGAATGGATAGACACCATGTGGTCAATCCATATAACAGGGCATTTCTCAGTTTTCAAATGGAAGGAAACTTGGACACAAGTTACAAAAAGTATGAACCTTGAGGACTAATTATGCTGAGGTAAATAAGCCAGGTAGAGAGAGACAAATACTGAATGATTTCACTTTTTGTAGGACCCAGACTAGTCCAATTCACAGACACAGAAAATAAAAGAGCAGTGACCAGGGCTGGGGTGGGGGGAACTCGTTCAATAGTGAGTTTCAGTTAGCTTAATGCCACAGAACAGTATGCTTATAGATGTTAAAATTATGTATCTCTTGTCTATTTACCACACCAAAACATACACAATAATGAAGTCAGAACACCAACTAACCAATCTCTGAGGGAATAAGCATTTGGTGAGAAAGGTGGCTAGTTCACAGGGCAGCTCCTCCCTATGGGCGGATGTCCCCCACTTACACACTCTGCTCTCCGCTCCTGGGCTCCTCACTCTGAGCACACAGCAGCTTTGGGCCACACTGTGAGTGAGTCTGGCCTGCAAGGCCACGGCTCTCTCCTGGGACTTGCACAGTCACCGCATTCCGTATCCGCTTGGACACACCGCCAGCATTCTCAGTTGCTAGGTCACGGACACCATGGTGGCATCTCTGTTGCTGACGGTGGCATGCCTCTTCACCTGCTCTCCTGTGTCTCCTGGCCCTATGCCAGAGGGGAGTACGTTTCCTCCAAAGACCCTAACAGTTTCCTTTTAAGATCTGTGTGACTGCTTCAGGCATGTCTGCTCAATCCTTTCCCTTGTGCCCCAGACATGGTACCTAACCCATCTCACCTGGAGTTAATGACATTTTTTCTTAAAGCGATGGCAACCTACAGACGCAGGTGTTAGCAGCTGTGGTGTCCACATGAGGGGGACTAAGTCGGGACAGACCAACGACAAGAAACACATTAGGAAACATACCCTTAGTTCACGGGAAACCACCCCTTTCCTGTTGAGTCTTGGATCACAGATGGTCCACGGGAGTATGGCTGTATGGACTAGATAAGGTAGCTGCTAGATAGGGAAGAGCTTTAGATGGGACTTCTGTAAGAAATGAGACATCATGTCAATGAGCCAGCAGTGAGGACTACATTTCACAAACAAGCCGAAATGCCACTGGAATCCTCTGTGTACAACTTTCCTGTAACAAATTTATCCCGAGGAAATGAGCAGAGAAATTACAAACATGTCGGTGAAACACACATATCCAATGAGCTTTATAAGAACTTACAATGGGGACAGACAGAGATAAGAAAACCCAGGCAGAGAATATGTACAGTAAACCATTTTATAAACTTACAATGGGACATAACACAACAATCCCACATTAGGAAGAATAAAGAAGAAAAAACTCCCTAGTGCTGCTAAGCAAAAAGCCGATTTCAAAAACACATAGTTAAAAATGCTGGAGAGGCTATGGAGAAAAGGGTATCCTCCAACCCTGCTGGGGGAAATGTAAATTTGCACAGTCGCTATGGAGAACAGCAAAGAACTTTCTCAAAAAACTAAATGCAGAATGACTATATGACCTAGCATCCCACTCCTAGGAATATACCCAGACAAAACTGTAATTCAAAAAGATACATGCACCCTTGTGTTCACAGCAGAACCACACACAGCAGCCAAGACATGGAAAGAACCTAAAGTCCAGTGAGAGTTGAATGGACAAAGATGACTTGGTGCTTATTTAATGGAATACTACCCAGCCATGAAAGAAAAAGAATGAAACAATGCAACAGTGCGGATGGACCTAGAGATTATCAAAGGGCTTCTCAGGGGGCTCAGTGGTAAAGAATCCGCCTGCAATGCAGGAGACCCGGGTTTGATGCCTGGGTTGGGAAGATCCCCTGGAGAAGGGACTGGCTACCTACTCCAGGATTCTTGCCTGGGAAAGGCCATGGACAGAGAAGCCTGGTGGGCTACAGAGCATGGGGCTGCAAAAGAGTCAGACATGACTCAGTGACTATACAACAACAAAGAGACTATCATGCCAAGTGAAACAAGTCAGACAGAAAAAGACAAATACCATACCCTATCACTGATATATGGAAGCCAGTTAGGCTCACTTGCTAGTTGTGTCCGACTCTTTGCAACCCAATGGACCGAAGCATGCTAGGCTTCCCTGTCCATCACCAACTCCCGGAGCTTGTTCAAACTAATGTTCATTAAGTTGGTGATGGCATCCAACCATCTCATCCTCTGTCGTGCCCTTCTCCTCCTGCCTTGATCTCCTGATTTGATCTCCTTCCAATCCAAATGACTCTCAAGAGTCTTTTCCAACACCATAGTTCAAAAGCATCAATTCTTTGGTGCTCAGCTTTCTTTATAGCCCAACTCTCACATCCATACATGACTACTGGAAAAAACACAGCTTTGACTAGATGGACCTTTGTCAGCAAAGTAACATCTCTGCTTTTTAATATGCTGTCTAGGCTGATGATAGGTTTTCTTCCAAGGAGCAAGCATCTTTTAATTTCATGGCTGCAGTCACCTTCTGCAGTGATTTTGGAGCACAAGAAAATAAAGTTTCTCACTGTCTCCACTGTTTCCCCAACTATTTGCCATGAAGTGATGGGACCGGATGCCATGATCTTAGTTTTTTGAATCTTGAGTGTTAAGCCAGCTTTTTCCCTCTCCTCTTTGAATTCCATCAAGAGACTCTTTAGTTCCTCTTCACCTCTCCCGTAAGGGTGGTGTCATCTGCATATCTGGGGTGGAAGCCAGAATATGGCAGGAATGATCATACCTGTAAAACAAAGACTCATACAGAACAGATTTGTGGTTGCCGGGGGGGGG